GCAAATTGAAAAGCAACTGTATAAAGGCTTTCAACAAGAAGTTTGCTTTTTTTCCTTCATCTATTATAATTTCCATTTTCTTTTACTGTATTTAACTTTCTCTTTTTCATAATTTTAACACAAAGGATTATCTATTGTTTTTAAAAACAAACCTTTTCACACTTTGTTATCTATTTTGCATATTTACATCTCTACGGTATCGAAAGCGTGTAACGCGGAATAACTCTACTGAATTCTTTCCTTCCTTTCTGTTTCGTACGACTACCTTTTCTCTTATTCAAAGGCGTATCAAAGAATTATATGTCATTCGTGCGGGATCCCTGTGCATTTTAGTTTCGGGCTTAGCGAACCCGTGCCATATATGGGAAGAAACAAAATGGCTGATTGTTCAGAAATGTTTTCGCTATAATATCTGTAAATTTGAGGCAGTCATGCTTTAAGAGTGGAGAAAATCACCAAAAATCAGTCTAAACTTACTCGCAAATAAGGTAATATGACCATATATGGCTGCTAAACGAAGGACAACTTTTCTCGGGCAATTCTTTGATATGAAGCTTAACATGATATTACCAAGGTATTAACATTTGGTGTTTAAAAATAACACAGGTGGCGTTAGTTTTAACAGATGGTATTCAGACAAAAAACAGAGGACCATATACAGATTTGATATTTGCATCGCAACCTTTAAAGGATAAAGGCATCGATATATATTCGTTGGGAGTTGGAAGTGACATTGATGTTCTGGAGTTGATTCAAACAGCCTCAGTTCCTGATTTCGTGTTTAGTGCCAATAGTTTCGACGATCTATCCAAGAAGGTAACAGAAATTACAGATGCACAATGCAAGGGTAGGTTATCAACTTTAAAGAGACCTCTGAAGCTTTTACGTCATCTACCGTATACGCAATGCATTGTAGGATGTGYTTGAGACACAACAAGGCGGATTTCTTTTGTTTWCCCTAAAAACTGATCCCACAATGCATTGAAAATCAAGTAGTGACGTAAAAGCCTATTCATAACGGATTGATGAGAATAAGAAATCAGTCGACGACAAACTTTGGTTATCTGTACAAGGTCGCTAGAACTGAAATTATGACCTGTAAGATCGACAAATTGCTGAATTTATCCTACTTAGAAAATCGATAATGAATAAACTTTTACTTACCTGAAATATATACTGACTATGTCGTCTTAGACACTAAAAAGCACTTGATTTTACGAAATTCATCCAAATGATCGTCTACTGAAACTCTCAAACGGTTGTTACTGAATTACTGAAAAAGGTTATTTATCAACGGGATTCAAATCACTTTGCCCTGGCTGGTGTTCAGCCAGGGCAAAGTGATTTGAATCCGTTAATGAATAACGTTCCTGGCGAGACAGCAGTGGCTGGTACAACAAGGACAGCGGTATTAAATTTAGTAACAACCGTTTGAGAGTTTGAGTAACGATCATTTGGATGAATTGTAAGACTAATATGTCTAAGACGACATATTCAGTATATATTTCAGATAAGTAAAAGTTTATTCATTATAGAATATCTAAGTTGGATAAATTCTGCAATTTTTCCATCTTATAGGTAATAATTTCAGTTCTAGCGCCCTTGATCTGTACTTAGCATACACGCACAGCCCCTTCAAGAGACACACTTCTCCATTTTTCCAAACTGTAGGTTAATCATAAAAATGTTTTGAATTTGATCACTTCTCGATTCGAAATTTAACGTCGTTTTAAATTTCCCGCCATTCGGCAAATTGCGCTATCCTTGCAAAATAGGGGCGTGATACGAGTTTGACGTCTACTCTGGGCACGAAGTCYGTTAGACTTTGTTCTCGATGCGAATTTCAAATTGGCGGCTGGTAAATTAATCAAACAATCACAATGAGTAAATCACACGACCAATCTGAAATTTACCAGCCGCCATTTTGAATTTCGAATCGAGAACAAAGTCTAACAGACTCCGTGTCCAGAGGTATTTTTTCTGGGAGTGAGATTACCCCTAGGTTCCCGAGGATGGTTTCATTTATAAACGACTGTAAATCGTTAGTTGACATCCAGCAATTCTTAATCAATATATTTGGGGATGTGAGAACTTGGTTCCTTAGCATACCAATCTCGACTCAGGCACCCACGGTAGTTCTCAAACCACCAAAAATGTTGTACTTTTCCTCAAATTTTGAATTGCACAATTTAAAATTAAAATAAATTAATGGAAATGMTTCAATCGGACCCAATTAGCAAAGGAACTGATTAAGTTTCAAGGTAAAGACGTCTTTACGGTGCGTTTAACAGGCAACGAACGAGAGCACCCTTATTGAATTGATAACACTTACACATTTCTATATTTTTCATTTTCAGCTTGTGATAAAGTTGTCGACGTTGTCTTTGGAATTCCCGACTCGACCACCATCCCAAAGCCCACGTTTAACCAAATTAAAAGGTTTTTTATAAAGCTCTCTTCATTATTCAAGTTGTCGCCGACTAAGGCTCATTATGGTGTTATACGGTATAGCGATAGTGCGGATATGGCTGTTAGGTTGGATCAGTATTACAACTTGAATCAAATTCAAAGTTTTATCAAGAAAATGACCCAACAAGGTAAGGCTAAATTAATATCAAATTTAATCGTAGAAATAAAGTAGATAAGTTCCATAGATGTTTGCCAAAGGCTCTAAATTGCTAACGATAAAACCATGAAATAGAGCGCAAACACTAAAAGCGTGAAAAAGTACTTTAAAAAGGGTTGTGTCGCTTGTAATTTGACTGTCTCAACCAATTTTTGAAAAATTAATTTTTATTTAATTTTTAATTCTTAAGAAGAATATAAAACAGATTTACGTGTTTGATACTCTGATCAAAACACCCTGGAAGTACGGAGAACATGTAAGAAGCGTAGAAAACCACGACGCGAAATATTTCTTTCGAAAACGATGCAGCATTTTTTGTGCAATTTTGATCGAAATCGTTTTTTTAATTGTTGTTAAAACTAGCAATTCTCATTGCGTACGTTATTGACCAATCAAAATTCGGATGAGATGAAAAGCGGGTGAACTCAAACCACAAGGAAAATAAAAATGGCGGACGATTTGACTAAAAATGGTCGCCAAAAACAATATGAGGTTGCTGAAAAGATGTTTTATCTTTATTTCTGCACTTTAAAGAAAGAAGCCAAACCAAGTTTTCGTGTAAACTCGTAATAACAATCAGAATGACATTATTTAACAAATAGATCTCATTTTTCCGTGCGTGTGTACTCTAATAGATACACAGATGACGTCAAAATGTAGTGAGAACAAAAAAGTACGCACCAGACGCAGTCGAGTGCGTCACTGTTGTTCTCACTACATTTTGACGTCATCTGTGTATCTATTAGAGTACACACGCACGGAAAAATGAGATCTATCTGTTTTATACAACAAACAATTAGTTTTACACACGAAAGCCAATCAATCAAAACGTCTGATTTTACTGAAAAGTTGTATAAAGCTTTTTAGTAAGATTGTTTCCTTTGAATTCGGAAAGTCATATTATAAAAGACTTCAAAAATAACTAAACTGCACTATAATTCTTTCCTCGTGGAAGTGTATCATCCACTAAAAAGTCGTATATTTTTCAACCACAGGCAGTGGTGTTGATGTGAATCAAGCATTACGGTCTGCCGCTGACCATGTTTTTACCATATTTGGTGGCGTTCGACAGACTGTCCCAAAAACATTCGTTATCTTTATACCTCAACCGGAAACTGTTGATCAAGATCTCATCAAAGCCATGACTGAAAAACTTAAGAGTATGGGTGTAAGAATTATGTTCGTTGGATTGCAAGAGAAGATTGATACACCATTCTATGGTCAACTCTCCTCTCAGCCTTCAGCACGATACCTTTTGACAGGATTTGATATCAAAGAGCTCACTGAAGTAGCAACGTACGAAGCTGTCGACACTATCTGCAAAGGTACGGAGCTTATTTNGGAACTGATTAAGTTTCAAGGTAAAGACGTCTTTACGGTGCGTTTAACAGGCAACGAACGAGAGCACCCTTATTGAATTGATAACACTTACACATTTCTATATTTTTCATTTTCAGCTTGTGATAAAGTTGTCGACGTTGTCTTTGGAATTCCCGACTCGACCACCATCCCAAAGCCCACGTTTAACCAAATTAAAAGGTTTTTTATAAAGCTCTCTTCATTATTCAAGTTGTCGCCGACTAAGGCTCATTATGGTGTTATACGGTATAGCGATAGTGCGGATATGGCTGTTAGGTTGGATCAGTATTACAACTTGAATCAAATTCAAAGTTTTATCAAGAAAATGACCCAACAAGGTAAGGCTAAATTAATATCAAATTTAATCGTAGAAATAAAGTAGATAAGTTCCATAGATGTTTGCCAAAGGCTCTAAATTGCTAACGATAAAACCATGAAATAGAGCGCAAACACTAAAAGCGTGAAAAAGTACTTTAAAAAGGGTTGTGTCGCTTGTAATTTGACTGTCTCAACCAATTTTTGAAAAATTAATTTTTATTTAATTTTTAATTCTTAAGAAGAATATAAAACAGATTTACGTGTTTGATACTCTGATCAAAACACCCTGGAAGTACGGAGAACATGTAAGAAGCGTAGAAAACCACGACGCGAAATATTTCTTTCGAAAACGATGCAGCATTTTTTGTGCAATTTTGATCGAAATCGTTTTTTTAATTGTTGTTAAAACTAGCAATTCTCATTGCGTACGTTATTGACCAATCAAAATTCGGATGAGATGAAGAGCGGCTGAACTCAAACCACAAGGAAAATAAAAATGGCGGACGATTTGACTAAAAAATGGTCGCCAAAAACAATATGAGGTCGCTGAAAAGATGTTTTATCTTTATTTCTGCACTTTAAAGAAAGAAGCCAAACCAAGTTTTCGTGTAAACTCGGCGCAAACGGACAAAATTGGAATCCTTTCCTTTATTGAATTTTGTTTCATAACATAGCTTTCTGATGAATACGACAAACAGAAAGTTTTGATGTCTTTTTGTGGCTAGTGCCTCGGAACGAGGCTCAAGCCACTATGCTATCGCGTGGAGTGCGTGTGAATGTAATTCGGGATAACTTCGTGACTACTCGATTTTCCGCCGATTCATTTTCGTTATTCTTCGTGAATCTTTCGTGTGTAAGTTGGGACTCCTGTGTTTTATCATATTGGGCTTCCTGTGTAATGACGTCACTAATMTTGTACCACMYCTCCCTCACCTGTACCTACATGCCCTGAACCACCCCTCCCTTGCAAAGGTTTTGTCCGCTCGTATACCCGTTGATGTCCCGTTACCCATTCAGCACGGCATACAATATATACTACGAAAATAAAGTCTTCTCAACCATGTGGGATGCTATGTGAAGTCATTTCTCACAGAAATTTCAAAGATTACATAAAATACAAGCAAATTTCAAAGATCGAATACGAATAATTACATCAATATGCAATCTTAATATATTTTTGCACTTTTATTGACTCTAATATCATTGCTGATCCAACAAAATTCAAAAGTATTTTTGAGCACGCAGTGTATCTTGAACAATTGTATACAATCATCTACGGTGCACTTCATATTAAAGAAAGATAATATCGCCAGAAAACGTGTTTATATAAAAAGTAGAGTATACTATCAAAATAAATACAAGAATCCAAACACTTCTCAGAGGAAGTTATATATTCAATCCAACGGCGGTACATTCTTGACCACGATCGACTGCACTTCTTGGCTATAAAACGTTCTCTTGCTGATATTCTTGACTTCAGATTGAGATTATTTCTTCATCTCAGCATCCAGGTAGGTATGCCAGCCGATGTCGCCGAACAAGTCATCCTAATTGCAAGTTTTGGCCATTTTAGACGCGAGACAAGTTGATAAGCTTGTCGATACGGCTCGCTCGGAAAATTACACTGGACATCTACCAGTGTACGCACTTCGCCAACTACTTTTTCTACCAGATTTCACATTGCATCCTGATTTATATTAAAAGCAAATGTGACAACGGACACTGGCAACGTAATCGAAACGTTCAGCGCATGCTCCTTAGACTTTGAACGTCATTCATTGCCACAGGATAAATGATGATAAGACTGAATTCTTACTGATCGGCACAAAGCAACAACTTTCAAAAGTCAATATTGATAGTATTCATGTTGGATCTGACATTATCTCTCCTTCGTCTGAAGTCCGAAACCTTGGTGCGTGGTTTGATAGTCAACTTACTATGACCACACACATTAGTAAAATTTGTGCTTCATCATATTACCATCTGCATAATATTAGGCGTATCAGGAAATACCTGACGGTTGATAATACAAAAGCCTTGGTTCATGCTTTAGTTACTAGTCGTGTTGACTACTGCAACTCTCTACTTTATGGCCTTCCTGATAATACTCTGCAAAAGCTTCAGCGCGTCCTCAATACTGCTGCCCGTCTTGTGTACCAAGAAAACAAGTACTGCCACATTACACCATTGCTACAAGAACTTCATTGGCTACCGRTCAGAATGCGGGTTCACTTTAAAATTCTGCTCCTAACATTCAAGGCTATCTATGGACTCGCGCCAATGTATTTACAAGATCTCGTGGAATTACACTCATCTAAGTACAGTCTTAGATCAACTGACTCAATATTACTTAAAGCTCCTGCCATCAAAACTAAGATTACACTCGGAGATCGGTCCTTCGCCATGGCGGCTCCTAAACTTTGGAACGGTTTGCCACGATACCTTCGTGACATTGACTCGCTCGAGTCTTTCAAGAAAAAACTAAAGACTTATCTATTTCAATTAGCTTTTAGACACAATTGATGTTCTTACAGCCCTTTGCAAAAATTATGAGAATTGTCTAAATATCTAAATATCATAATATCCATATCCATATATTGTCCGGAACACGCGGGTTTGCTAGAATAATTCATTGTTGACATCGAGAAAATGTTCAGAACTACGGATAAGTCTGTCGCCAAAAAAAAAGCTAAGCTACAAAGACAAGGGACTAAGGGAATCACGCGGGATTACCCATCATGCACTCGATATTGT